AGTTTAGCAAAAGACCAAGAAGATAAAGACATCCTCATTCTCAGAGACCAGTATCACCACGTACCCACAAGTTCACGTGATCATGTTTGTAGTCCAGAAACTTCCTTTGGATAATAATTCCTCGCATTGACCCTTCCCTCCTCTCCCCACCCCCTCCCACAGAATTATCAGTCTGTCCCCATGTCCCTGGGCACTTTGTCCATCCCTGGGCTGTAGCACATTTCCTGTATCTTTGGCCAAGTCCGTCTCCCCGCACCCCCACCCCTGGACAGGGAGCTCCTTAAGCACTGGAGTCCTGCCTTGCGAATGGTACTAGATATTTAACAAATGAGTGAATAATTCAGTTAGAACGAGTGATAAACACAGAAGCCTGAATACGTAACACATATCTGCCAAACTCCCTGGTCTACAAAATATTTCCATAGGCCTTCTATCCGCCTGATTTCACAGGTGCAGACGAGAAGGCTCTAAAACATTAAAGGGAACTCCTCAATCCATCGAGATGGGAAAATGGTAAGATCCAGGACTTGCTTTTTTTTTTTTTTTCCTGGCAAAAACAGATGGCGGCCATTATTTTGTTTTCTAGCAGGGGCTTCCACAATATTTAAAAGACACATTATAGACCCCAGCCCCTACCCTCAAGTCACTCATGCTAGAACTCATTTTTCTTCTGATGGTGGGGGGCGGATAAAAAAAGCAATAGCAGGGGCACCTGGGTGGCTCAGTGGGTTAAGCCTCTGCCTTCAGCTCAGGTCATGATCTCAGGGTCCTGGGATCGAGTCCCACATCGGGCTCTCTGCTCAGCAGGGAGCCTGCTTCCTCCTCTCTCTCTACCTGCCTCTCTGCCTGCTTGTGATCTCTCTGTCAAATAAATAAATAAAATCTAAAAAAAAATAAAAAATAAAAAAGCAATAGCGGTTAGACCCTCATATAATGCCTTGTTAATCCTTCCCTTATTGAAGTAGAAGCTCCTCTTAGGCAGGAGCCATCTCAGATTTACCTGCGCATCCTCTCCCACTGCCTGGAATATTGACTCAGACCTGGGAGGGGGCCAAGAACCATCAATGAATCAACAAGATCTAACACCGTAGCCTCTGATCAGGAACTGGGAGCAAAGAGCTGTCTGTAAGATACACTAGCCCAAACATTCAACTCCTGGGTGCAAGTAGCAAGTTCCAAGGTTCCAAATGCCAAGGGAACACCAAATGTCTCCAAGATTCAGCCACAGCTCGAAGCCAGCCCCCAGGGGCAGCTTCTGTGGTCTGTGAGGCCCTTCCTCTCCCCAGCTCCCTGTGTGAAACGCCCTTCATCAAGGTTAACCAGAGAAAGGAGTGGACGGACAGCTTCCCTGGCAGCCGGAGGTGGGCCTGCTTCCTGAGGGACCAGAGTGGCGCTCTGAGCGGCAGCAAGGGAGGTGGGTGGACAGGAGATAGTGAGGTCAAGAGGGTATTAAAAAGAAGCCACTCTTGCAGCCCTGGTCATAGGTCTGCCCCCAGACGTCTGAGAAAGGAGTCTTAAAGATGACGATCTTTTTCCTTTCTCCCTAGGGGGAGAGGAGCCTGGCAAATTCCAGGTGCTGAACAGGAGGAAGTCATGTTCAAAGAACAGAGTCACAGAGGAAGAGGAGATGGCACGTGTCAGACCTGCTGTCTGGTTCAATTCCCCCATTTTCCTCTGGACGTTGACACAAGAAAGCCCAGATTCCCTCCCAAACCAACCAGACTAGAAGCCTGGTCCAGCTCCCAACAACCAGGCCAAGGCATGGAGCCCGTCGGTAGAAGGACAGTTACCAGTGTCCATCAAAACAAGTTATTCTCAAGTGTGCCTGGCCCGATCACTGACCCAGCATGAGCATACCTTCTCTTCCTCTCCGTGGTAAAGCTAGGACTCCATGCTTCCCAGCTGGCCAGGAAGATGCCTGCTGCCTTACTCAGATACTCGGGCAGGTGACGGGTAAGATGCTGTTATACAACTTGTCTAAGTTCTGCCCAGACTGCCAGACCTCAGAGTCTCCGGATAGCCTCTCGCCTGGTGAATCTAAATCAAGCTCTTACCACTTCCTTGGCACGGGTCTCTTTCACATTCTTGGTATCAGTAAGCCTGCATCGCTCCAGCTCTCCTGATCGCCGAGACAGGTTACAGCCGGCGTTAACACAAGCAAGCCTGCCGACTAGAAGACCCTAGGATACTGCCGTCCTTGCCAAAGGTTGCTGATGTTGATCATGATTACACATTAGCCAAAACACGCTTGTCAAATCTCCCCAGACTGAGGTCTCCTGAAACCCCAGGGTAGTTTTAACCACTCAGTGCCCCATCCCCCTCCACACACCATGGGATAACTAGGTTAAACATCACCCTTGGTCAGCTCTCCAAAGCCCTCGTTATACAAGGTAGTGTAGAGACAGCAATTTGACAAACACCACCACCGCACTCTTTGGGGCTTAGCAGACACACTGATATCACCAACGTGGAGGCCAGCTAGACACCTCCCCAAGACATGGCCTTTAGTTTCCTGCCCACGACCAAAACAGTGGCAGCCGTTGCCAAGGGAGACAAGGTGACCCAGAGGCGTGGGCACAAAATCCGGGGATGGAAATCCATTTTGTCTGGATCCACCCAAGCAACTGGGTTTCCCGGAGAAAAGATTAAAAACAAAATCTACCTTCCTATTCGGCCCTTGCTAGGCAGGTGGAAGATACCGCACTCCTAGCAGAGAGTCGTGCAAAGGCCAGGTGCAAGTCAGCCTGAACTCAGAAAGGTCCAAACTGTTCCTATGCCTCACGCTGTGGAGGACCTTGGAAGAGGAAAGGGCAGGCCCCAGCTGAGTTTCCCTAGAGGGTAAACCCCAACCAAGGCAAGAGAAAGCAAGGGTTCTCTTTCAAGCAGTCACCAACCCAAAGACAGAACATCACCAACCTTACCAACAGAGATCCACAGCTGCCCCTGCCCCAAGCTAACTGTGCTCTAGCATTCAGCAAAGAATGTATTCAGAACTTTGGAAGTAGAGAGCAGCCTGCGGTAGGAAAAGGAGCACATGTGGTCAGAGTCCCAAGTCCACTGGGCCAACCCTTTTCATCTCCCTCCTCCAGTTTTCTCAACTTTAAAAAGGAGACAAATGTGCAGTCTGACGGCCTTATCTATTTTCCAGGAGTTTCTTTCTTGGTCTCATTAAAACCATGTGAAAGTGCTTTGTAAACTATAAAGCACTTTACGCAGCTGCTCATTTTATAACTAATGCCTTTCTTTCTTTCTTTCTTTCTTTCTTTCTTTCTTTCTTTCTTTCTTTCTTTCTTTCCTTTCTTTCTTCCTTTCCTTTCTTTCTCTGTTTCAAGGCACAAAGCACTTGTCCTCAATGCACCCAGACAGGTAAGAAGGCACGTTTTGCACACCCCTCCCCAGATGCGAGAAGTATGACACTCATTCACCCTACCCCCGCCCCCCTAACCAAAGGAATAAAGAAGAATTCAGAACCAGAGCTGGGCCCAGAATCCAAGGCTCAGGACCCCATCACATCACACCACCGCCTCTGAAGTCAATTCTGGCTCCTGATCACAGGCCCAGGGCGCACTTCCCAGACGACACACCACCTTCCCTCCCCTTTAGTGACTGGATCCACCCAGTTAAAAAAAAATACTACTTTTTAAGCCAGCTCTCCCACCATATGTGGCATTTATTTCCAGAGGAGGCCCGTTCTGGGTTCCTGTGGACAGATGTTGCTTTGTGCCTGCCTCACACGGCTGGCAGGCCGTGTACAGCTGCCCCAAGCAGGTGGCCAAGGAGGCAGTCCCCTCCTGGCCCAGCAGCAAGGCCCACAATCTCTGCTATGGGACTCGGGCCCTGCAGACCCTCTGCTCATTCCTCTGCAGCCTGGGACCCCCAAGGACATCCCACCCCTATGCACACACACAAACATCCTTGGTGCAAAGTCAGAATTTAAAGGGGGCCCAGAGGGAGAGACAGGAGGCTAAGGTGTCCCCCCTACCCTGACTCGCTCACACACACACACAAATACACACACTTCCCAGCCAGGGGCAGCAACACTAAGAGAAAGCCCTGGGGAGTGAAGTCACTGACCCCTTCCATCAGCCATCTGTGAGCTCCCGCCTGACCTAGCTAGCGCGATGCGGAGGAGAAAGGAGGTCCAGACAGATGGCAAAGCGCTTTGGGAAGGAGGGCTCTGCAGGAATGCGAGGGCCGATGCGAGGCCCACTTTGGGGTGCGTTGTTATCTGATCAGCTCGAAGCTCGTTCTCTCCTCCATCAGCCCGCAATCTCAGGCTGAAAGCTGGACAAAACAATCGTCAGGGGAGAGGGAGAAGAGAAGACCCTAACCTCGGCCACTTGTCTCTCATTTGAAAGCACTGCGCGGCAACTAAAGTGCGTGTGTGCGGAGGGGGCGGGAGACTGGCACAACCGAGTCTAAAAATACTGGATAAAAATGCTAATCCCGAGGCAAAGAGAGAACGAAGAAGGAATCTGTCAATCACGAGGCTCCCGCTCCTCACCCACAGCCCCAGCTGTACGGACTGCATTCCTGTTGCGGAGGAAAGAAGTGGGGGGACAGGGCTGAAGGAAAGAAAGGGAGAGACACCACCACCTCCACGAGCGCGGGCCGCGGGGGCGGGAGGCGGCGGCGGAGGAGGGGCTCCGGCCCGCGGAGCTGAACAAAGCGGGCCTCAACTTCTAGCCCGCAGCTCCCCGGAGTGGGGGCTGCCAATTCCAGCAGCACCCCCCTTTCGCGGAGATGAAACACGAATGTGAGGTCTGGAAGTGAGAGTGCCCCGTGGAAGCCCCAGGATCTGAATCTTTGCAAATCCAGAGAAGGTTTTGTTTGGGGTCCCCCCCAGCCTCTTCCGGACCGCGCTCCCACTGCCCCCCCTTACACTTACACACACACACACACACACACACACGAGCCCTTTCGCTCCAACCCCACCCGACCGGCCCCGCCATACCAGGGGTCTGGGCGGGCGCGCCCCCCGGGTCGCTAGGGCCCCCCACCTGGGGATGGTGATGCACTTGGTGTTGACGTTCTGCGTGGTGATGGCCTTCTCCAGTTCGTCCAGCTGCCCCGTCTTCTTGAGCTTCTTGACCAAACTCTTGACCGCCTTCTCGCACCACTTCTCCTCCTGCCCGTTCTGCTCGCCCTTCTTCCAGCCCAGCAGGCGCTTCACGATCGGGGGGGTGAAGGGCAGGATGGACGACATGGCTGGGGAGGGCGCGCGGGCGGCGAGGGGCGCCCCCGGCGGGGCTGGGCGCGGCGGGGCGCCGAGGGGGCGCAGAGGGGAGCTCGGCCGCCCAAACTTCGCCCGAACTCCCGGCGAACTTGCCCGTGCTCCGGGCCGGGCCGCGGCGCTGCAGCCAGCGGGGCGCGGCGCGCGGCCCTGCGCCCCGAGCGGTTCCCGCGGCGGGAAGGAGGGCGGCGGGGGAGGCGGGCGGACGGCCGACAGCGGCGCCGGGTCGGGAAGGCCCCGAACGCCGGGCGGAGGCGGCAGCCGCGAGACTCAGAGTGGCAGAAGAAAGTTTGGGTTTCCGCACGGGGTAGCTGTTTGGGTGCCGCCTCCAGGAAGGAAAGTCCAACCCCCAGCCAAACTTTGCTCGCCTCGCTCGCTTTGATGCGCAGATCCCTCCGCCTCGGCAGCCTCGCTTCCCCGCTCTCCTCCTCCTTCCCGGCTCGCTCCCTCGCTCGCTCGCTGGGCCGGCCCGGGGCGTGCGCCGCGCTCCCGCTCCCGCTCCCTCTCCCGCTCCCGCCCGCTCCCAGTCTGTGTTTCATGCAAATCCGCGTGCAGCCTCCTTTCCAAGCGCTGTCACCGCCCCCTCGCTGCCGGGGCTCCCCGCCTCCTCCCCCGCGCCCCGCCGCCTCCGCCCCCGGGCGCCTTGCCCACCCCCAACCTCCGGGAGGGCGCCCGGCCTTCCCCCGCCCGGCGCAGAGCACGCCCACGTGGGCGACCCTGGCCGGCGGCGGCCCTGCCTGGTGCGCGCAGGACCCCGCGCGGCCCGGACCTCGAGTCGGGCGGGCGCTGGGAGGAAGTCGTGGGAACCGAGCGGCGAGAGGGGAGGGCCGGGCTCTTGCCGTGGCGTCCACTCTCTGCACCCACACTCAGGAAGCTCCGTTGCAGTGTCGGGCTGGAGAGGGCCAGACTGGCAGCTAGCGAGCGCTGTCCGGCCAGAGGCTGGCGGCGCACCCATGGGGGCACCCGCGTCCGAGAAAGGGCGCGCGGAAGGCTGAGGCCCAGGAAGTCGGGGCGCGCTCTTGGATGTGCGCGGGCTGATGCCGGCCAGGTGCTTTGGCGGCGCCGGAGTCCCTGGAGCTGTTTTTGTTGTTGTGGTTGGGGTTTTGTTTATTGTTTTTTTATTCTCTCCTCGGTGAGATCACACCGGCTGAGAGCCCCCGAGCCTGTGTGCGAAGGAGAGAGTTGGAATTGGGAGGGGGGTGGAGATTTGAGGATCCATGAGACTCCCTGGATGATAGCCGGAGCCAGGGGTCCCTTGGGCCTTGTGAATCAAGTCCCGGACAGAAAATGGGCCTCAAAGACATCTGTTGAGTTCATGAAGGAATGAATGGGGGCGCTTTAGAATTTATCTTGGGGGGGGAGGGAGGGATTGCATTACTGGGTGTTTTCAATCTTATGATACAAAAAAATCCGAAATTCGACACCCCCAAAACTAGGAGAAAGCTTTGTTTCCAAAGCTGTGAACTCGCAGAAAGTGGGGCAGAGGGGGAGTACTCGAGAGGTTTCTGTATTCAAACTTAGGCTCGGTGGGAAGCAAAGAAACCCCAGGACATTGGGGCGCCTGGGGATTGTCTCCCCACCAGCAGAATTCGGGGCCTTCTAGGCGCAAACCCCACAGTTGCGGTCGGGAGTTATTCCAGACCCTCAGGCCATTTCTCCTGCTGCCCCTCCCCTGCCAGGCCTCTAGCCGGGTGTCTACAGCCTTTGTTTGTTTTTAACAGCAGGAAACCCCCCCCCCCCCCGGTGAGAAAGACGTTATCCGCTAGCGGGTGGGGAGTTACAAAGCTCTGTGAGGTGTGGCCCAATCCACAAAATCCGCCCGGTAGCTGCAGGGGTCCCTGCCTTGGAAAGAACGGCCTCCCACGGGCCCATCGGCTGCGGGGGAGGGCTGTGTTCTTCACACTCCCCTCCTCACTCCCGTGCCGCTTGGCCCTGAGAACCCCTGAAACCCAAGTGGGGCTTTCCCTTTCCTGGCTAGACCTCAGGTCACCTGCAGCCCCTGTAGTGTGAGGTTTCATTCGGTTCCTCCCAGCCCTCATCAGAAAAAAGAGAGAGAGAGAGAGAGAGAGAAAGAAAAGGAAACAACAGTCAACATGAATTGGTGGCTTTCTTCATTCCAGGTAACCCAAATGCTGCTTTCTGCTTTAATCCTCAGAACGGCACCCCCAGGGAAGATATCCTGGTGCCTCCCATTTACAGGTGCACGTAGAGCCTACAATACCTAACTCGGGTTTCCAAACTGGGGAGCTGGAATTTGAATCCAGTACTCGGTGAGGCCGAAGTCCACATTCTTGCCTGTGCCTGCCCCTCGCTGCTTTTCAGAGTCCTGGCCCGCGAAGGTGACATCACGGATAGAGCTCTTTGCAAAACAAAAGTTCTTTACGCAGGTGCGCTATTGTGGTCCCGCAAGGAATGTTTGCTCACTGATTAAATAGGGCTAGAAATAGCTTTCCTCTCAACCTCAGGCAGTGGTCCTTGTGGGAATCTCCTGGGAAAATCTTTGCAAACAGTCAAGGACTGTTAAGGGACAGAACCACAGCTGGGGGCCCCAGGGGCCAATGCCATGAAGAGTGGTGTGTGGTTAAGTGAGAAAGTTATGTTAGACACGCGTCTATAGGATGCCTCTGTGTCACAGCCCTCTCCTTCGTTTCTGGGAAGGCTGAAAAGGATGATGAAGGCCCCTCTCCTCAGGGAGCTCACAGCCTAGAGAAGCACCAAGGCATGGGAGGCATGTGCCTGGGAGAAGGGGCCCCTGCAGGCATCACCTGCTAGTAAAACCTGAATATCAAATCATGCCGATGGGACTGCTGTGAGGCCGTCAGATGAACTAAGGGGCCCTCAGGCTCCCTCAGTGACTTGACCCGACCTTCCGCCCTGGCTCCCTCTGCCTCATGGAGCCTCTCCTCTCAGCTGTCAGAATGGAGAAAACCGTTGTTACTGTGTAGAGTAGTGAATCCAGAAAAGCATCAAAAGTGCCCTCGAACATCTCATTTCACAGAGGCAGAAGCCACGCCTCATGGAGGCAGGCCACGTCCTCCACGGAGGTCAGGAGCCAAAGAGATCGGGAAATTAAGCGGAGTGGAAGGGCCTGGTGTGGACCTAACTCTAAAACCATGGTATGGGAAGAGCTCCTCTTCCAGTGCTCCCATTTTCCCAAGGGGAGGAAATAACTAGTCAGCAGCTAGTTAGCATGGCTGACATACACTTTCTCGCACTTCTTCACAAGCTGTCATCCGCATGACAGGGACAGTCGTGCGTGCAGAAAAACAGGGCCAGATCCACATGTGAGTCCAGCAATGCCGTTTCGGGGCTAGTCCTTTCTCCTCTGGGCTCAGTCTCTCCACAAGAAGAGTTGAGGGGCTAAGCCCAGTTTCAACCAAGCGGCAAGGAGGGCTGAGGAACGGATTCCTTCCCCACCCCCCCCACCCCCCCACCCCGCCCCGGGCCAAGAGGACCCTGCGTGCTCCTGTGACTCTGGGCGGTGAATGGGAGGACAGCTCCGGATGGATAGGAACCCTGTTCTGGCACCTGGTCTCCCGGGGCCCAGCCAGGCCAGCTTTTGCAGAGGTTGTCCTTGGAAGGGAAACATGAGCCCAGTTAATTTTTCATCACCGTAAGTGCAAAGTTCAAGAGAGGTGGGATGGGGCTGGAGGCAGCGAATCTGTTTCCCTGGGAATAGTCAGTCCTATCAGGAATCGCCTCGCAAATGGACTTGCCAAAGGGTTCTCGCAGATTTGGAGCGGCTCCCAGGTAGAACACTGGAGAGAAACAAATACATGACTTCATTTCTGATTATTTTTTTTCCATGAGCTAAAGGGTGTTTAATCAACAAGTGGCAAATCTAGAAAGAGCTTTAAAATTGTTCTGTCTTCATGTCACACAGACATGAAGGGACATCTGGTGAAGGGAGGTGACTGGCACATCTAAGTCAGATTCGAGGTGGGACTGGAAGTTTCACCGGAGTGGCCTCATCTGAGAGAGCACATTGGCCTGTGGCTCTGTGCAACCCCTTACACGTGGGAGCCCGCCCCATGGTGCCAGACAGAGCTGGGTTCGATTTCCAGCTGGTTCGACTTCCAGCTCTGTGACTTTGGGCAAGTCCCTTACTCCCTGCGGGTCAGTTTCCTATTCTATAAAATAGAAATAATACACCTCTCAGGGTTGCTGTAAGGAATCCAATAACCCATGAGCTTGCCACAAACACACGATACGTTCCACACAGAGTAGGGATATGGTGGGTGCTCACCACAGAGTACTAGAACAATGAGTACTAGTACTAGTAAAATGAATACTAGTATTAGCACTAGAACAATGAGTGCGGCACACACAAAGCAAACGGATGGATCTTAAAAACAGTGCGGAGAGCAAATAGGAACACAGAGAATGAGGTAAGTAACATAATGCTACTTGCGGAGAAAATTACATATACACAGAACAACTGTGTGCTTTCTGAAAGATGTCTTAAACAAAAAGATAACATGTCGAACCACTTCACACTCATTCGTATGGGTAGTATTTTTAAAAAGGAACAAAAGAACCAGTGTTGGGGAAGACAAGGAGAAATGGGAACCCCCTTGGGATGTAAATGCCACAGCCACTGTGGAGAACTGTACGGTGATTCCTAAAACCAAAAAAAAAAAAAAAAAACAATGAACAACTACACACAGAATTACCACTTGATCAAGCAATTCCACTCCTAGGTTTATACTCACGGGATGCCAAAGCAGGGACAAATGGCGACGGCTATTTGTACACTGTTTGTAGCAGCATAATTCATGAGAACCAAAAGGTGGAAGCAACTCTAGTTAATCTGCTCATGGACGAATGAATAAACAAAATGTGGTATATACACATACAATGGAATATTATTCAGCCTTCACAAGTTTCCAGAACCTTCCAGTCCAGTGATCATGATCTCTCATGGTGCAGAGCCCAGTCAAAACTATTTCACATGTCCCACATTGTAGCCACCCCTAGGAACATATAGACTTAGGGGTGGCTCCATTGGACAGCGTAGGGTGCTGAGGGTCAGGAGACTAGCGCCATTTGTGGGTCTGCTCTATGCCGGGCTCTGGGCCCCGGACCTCAAGGATAGGGTCATGTTTGAAGTTATCC